ACGTAAAAATTCTCTAATTAGTCTGGAAACGGGGGACCTAATTCTTGCATTCTGTGAAAACGGGTAAGATTAGCTATAATGTAATTATCTTAATCTTCACTATCGTTACTTTTTGCCCAGCGAAGCGGGTCCTTGCAGCTAGATTCTAGATTACTTAGAAAAACAGTCTTTTATATATATAAAAAAAAACTATATTACATAAAAATAAAAACTCAGCGAAGCGGGTCCTTGCAGCTAGTATAAGAATAAATCTTTTAGCACGTAATATGAAGAATACACTTTGAAAATATTTTGAGAGAAAATCAGTGCTTGAAATGTTCCTAGATATTAGAAATAATAATATCCAAAAGTACTTTCATTATAAAAATTGTTAGAATAAAAGGAGATAAAGCTTATTAGGAGAGTCCTCTTTCTTTGACATCATTATAAATGAAAACCAAATTTAACTCTTAACTTGCAGATTGATATCAAGGCTATCATTCTAATGCAGGAACATGATTTTTTTTTATTCTTAGGTTTGTATTTGTGTAATTGAATGCTCACATTGTTTTTATTTTATTGAACTTGGTTAAAATTGTCAATAGCAAAATTTTTTGCTTGTTTTGAAAATTTTAATTTTGATTACATTTGACAGACAAAAAAATTCATTATTGTGTAGTCATAATTCAAGGTTGCCAGAGATGGCTTAAATACTACTATTTGCTACCATTTTTGAGCATAAGCATTATGATAATTGTTTTGAATAAAAATGTATGATACAGCAACTGCTTTTACAAATGAAACAGTTTTTTTCCCCCACAATTTTTTTAACATGGTAGTAAGGGTAGATTAACACTTCAGGGACCATAAACCTTTAAATTTCTGGGCCTCCTTTAAAAATTTTTCACACAAACATAAAGGATCTCCAAATGGAGAAAAGCATTCATGAGGAAATAGTTGATATAGTTTAAAAATAATTAATTTCAAATTTATTTTTTTTTAAATTTAAAGTTATCATGTATATGGTAAAATTATTATGTTAGTAGGTATGTTATTAACAGAGTCCGTACAGACCTGGAAAGTTAAGGAATAATTTTAGCAGAAAATGTCAAGGAATCTGCAAATACTGTAGAATCCGTTTGTTACTCTCGCTCCTTTTTGATCCGAACACATTTTTAAATTTGGTTCAGTATAGAGAAGTCTATGAAAACTGTAGCGACCAAAGAAATGGCAAGATTTGTTGCACTTATATCTCGTAAACTATAAATGACAGTCTAATGATTTAAATTTTGTTGAATAGGAGGTTTATATCCATATTTTAAATGGTGGCTAGTGGGGGGTGCAGCTGTGTGGGAGAGGGGTAGTGGTTGTGCATGAATACCTAAGATGGTGATGCAGTGTGATGTTTGGGCAGTTAAACTTTGGATAGCAAAGAAATAGGATGTCTAACTTTGTTTTGATTTGTACAGAATGACAGGATCTACAATATTATTTAGCAATAATAACCAATAAAATAGAATTTGTAAAGTTATAAGCTGGTAAGTGTGTGGGTTGAAGAAAATTTTCATAATGTCAAAGAAATTGCAAGGAAATATGAACAGAAATGTAAAAGATATATTATTGGAAAGAAAAATTTAAAAGGAATCAGAAAAGCCCAAAATAACTAATGCCAAATGATGCAAATTGAATAGAGAGCTTAAGAAAATTGAGCACATCAACTTCAACACAAACATTTTGAGTGTGCCTGTTGCCCAAACTAATAGATAACTATTGATAACAATTAAAAAACTTGGAATGTGATAACCGTCAAGACTTTATTTGTTTACATCTTATCCTTCCTCTAATAACACAATGACGGATTCACACCTTAAACAATTATGATTGTGTCCTGTACACAACCCTTCCCATCATTTTTGACCTGTGTGACATTTGGTTAACTCATTGCAGTCAGTTGATACCATGGGAAGGAGGCAAAGAACCATCAGTCGGCTTAACGATATTGTGTATGGGGCAATTTTGGGTTGTGTGGTGGACCTAATGCAATTTATGTATTTTTATTTATTGTATTCTTTGCTGCTGGCCACATACAGTATGTGGAGGTCATCAGTTTGTAAAAATTGGCAGGATTATTATTTGCGATATGTTTTCTTGCTCACTGCAAATTTCCATCTTCTGATGACCCACAGAATTTCAGAAGTATACCCAGTGGTGATATTCGAAATATTTAACAAAGGGTTCGCTAACAGAAACTTTTTCCTTAACAATTTTTTTTCGTGCAAATGGTGCATTAGCAACATTAGCGCAAAAACTGACCTTAAGATACCCATATAAATAAAAAAGATGCGTTTGCAAAATTAAGTCAGTTAAAATTTAACATTTTTTATGCCAGAACTATATTTTTTTTTTTATAAATAATAATAAAGAGTGTTCAAAATGGTTTATTTTGTACATATTTTATTACGACACGTGTTCTGCAGCCATCTTGTATTTTCTCGCGCGCGTGGGATCTCTCTTATGCTGGGGTCATATTCTGGTCACCGTCTCTGGTCTCGTGTCTCTCACAAGCCGGTCGCTGATTGGCTAATCATTTGGATTAGCCAATCAGAGACCATCTTGTGAGAGATGAGAGACCAGAGACGGTGACCAGAATATGGCTCCTGGATCTAGTTTCAAGAACTCTCTTGAGTGGACTGCGATTGAACCTCATTTCAGTCAAGATTGAAACAGTCGAGGGAGGTCACATCAAGGCAAATGGGGTATAAGGCTCTGGTTTAGTAGTGTTACAGAGTATAATATGTATATTTTAATATATTTTTTAAAAGAAGCAAAATCACTGAGAAATGTTACGTGTATTTAACAAGGTTCGGAGAACTTTGAAAATGTTAACAACAGGTTCGGCTGAACCTGTGTGAACCTGCTGAATATCATCACTGAGTATACCAAAATATTGCCATAGAGTTAAAATCAGGTTTTCAAAAATATCGACAACGAATCACTTTTCCACCAAACTCCTCTGCTCCCACTATTAAGTTTCACGAAGGGATGGGAAGAAATGGATGAATGGACTTTTAATGGATCCGTTCTGGACCAAAAATAGTATGCGATAAGTGATTTCTCCTTTTCACAGTGAGCTATTTCTTTTGTTTAAATTATTTTGAATTTCCTGTCTGCTCGCTTTAAGAAAATTTGAGTTTACAACGTGACATGAATCTTTTGATTATTTAAATAAAATTTACAAATTAATTTAAGTTAAATCATGAATTTTTTTATATGACATAGAAATGACGTAGCTAATTACATAATTGATTTTATGCAAAGTTTTTCATTTTTTGTAAGTAAATAAAGTGTATTTTAATTAAAAAATTTATATAATTGTGTACAAAATGGGTTTAAATAGACTTGGTTGAACATTACATAATGGAAAGGGAAAATACAGAGACGTTAATAAGTCAGGGAGTAATGTCATAATTGGTTATGGAAAGTCAGGGAATTACAGATGGAATTACCTGTACAGATCCTGTATTAAATGTCATATTATAGGTATAAGAAGTTTTATTGAATATTTTTGAAGTCATCTTATTGTCATTTGACATTTTTTAGACTATCTAAGACATACTATGATGTTGTTAGGGTCCAATATGCATATTAATAAAATATAAACTTAGAATAACAAAATTTGTATAATTATCTTTTTAGTAAACTTGAGCCTCAAAATATATAGTCTTGGGTCCCATAAGACTTACACATATATGAATAAATACCTGTATGGGATTCATTTTATCTCTGTTTAAGAAAGTATATAACTATGCAAAAATGTATGATACTGCAACAAATTGAAAATAAATTTTTAAAATTTCAGCTATGTGGGGCCCTGGATTCAGATGCCTGAGGCTTAACCTTCATTAGTTTCAATATAAATCTGCATCTGCATAGTAGTTTTCTTAGTAGTCATTTGAAAAAGTGACATTTTTTTTTTTGCTTTAAACATTACTAAAATAGCAGTTCACTGAACAGTACAGGAAACACTATTTTTTGCCACCAGTGATTATCCTGTTCAACACATCCTGGTCTGTATCAACAGTGTCAATGAAATTGCCATAAATCTTCATACAAAATTGACAGTGGTCTGCTGTTAACTGTTTTGGAACAATGTGCTCGCAGACTTGCATTTGCAGATTTTTGGTAAGAATGGTGTGACAGCTTCGCACAAAAATGCCACACTTTTTTGCAATGGTGACTGCTGATTGACACCTGTCTTTGCACACAGTCTCTCGAACTTGTGCAATTGTTATGTCATTGCATGAAATTTTTCATCGTCTTCCATGAACTGTCTCCCATAGGCAAACAGCTTGTGCCATATCTACACGGAAGTTTTCTTCATCACTGTTTCACCCTAGTTGTAGATAACATTGCCAGAATTTCTTGCAGTGTCTTCTTCAACAGGACACAGAATTTGATGTTTGTTCGTTGATCGATGATGGACATTTTGACAATAAACATGGATCAGAAATCTTTCTTTCACTCTTTCATGTACTCAACTCTTGCACATTATAATATGATTGTGACCAAAAAAGACTCAACACCAGTGCCTTCTGACTCTGCATTTTGTAATTGCATACATTTTCCTTTGAACTTTTTGAAGCTACCTTGTATATAAGCAATATTAGTTTATATGAAATTAATTGGATTAATATTTAAATTGTTAAAATAGTTAAAAAAAATAATATTTTAACAATTCAAATGGTTATTCATAAAAATTAATTACATATAATTAAACAGTTTCATTTCTTATTTCAGGCGATGAAGTTGTTGAATGGAATGGACGCTCATTGCAAAATAAGACAAGGGAGGATGTATCTGAAATAATTTTAGAATCTAGACAAGAACCTCAAGTAGAATTAATTGTATCTCGTCCTTTAAGGTGAAATACTTAAACTGATTTTTTAATTTATCAAAAAATATAATCGAACGCCATCGTTAATGTCAAACAATTTGTTAAAAGGCACTCTCGGGTGACTTTTAGAAAAATGTACCTCGGTCACGTGATAGCGCCTATTTAGATAAGAAATTGGTCGGATTGTTTCTTATCTAAATAACCTGAATACCTCGAAATCTCGTCAAATATTTTTATATCTTCAACAAGTTTGTTAAATCAACATTTAAACCGAAACCTAATAAATTAAGTTACCTTTTTTTCTTCCTTAATTAATTAATTAAAAAGACAGAAAACTTTAAGAAACAAACAAATAAAAATACATTTAAGATAAAAAGAAGCATTTAGTTACAAAGTAAAAAATTTATACGGCGTTTTAATTCATTTCTTTTTGCTTTTAAATGTTAGTAAACGTTCGAAAAAATACTAAGAAAGAAGTAAGAAATATGAACGCCCCTCCACTTTTACAATATAAATTCTGTAGGATTGGCAGTTAAAGTAAACATATCGGAGGATTTCGGGCAACCTTTGACCTTAACTTTCCTACTAAATTTCGCTTCCGTCGCTTTGTTTAAGTAAAGTGATGATAGACATCAGACAAGCCCCAAATGACGTCACTCAATGAGACCCTTCAGGACTTCAACCGTATATTATTTAAGAACAAACTAACAAACGAACATACATAATTTTACACTACATCAACATGATTTTTTTAACCTCTTAACCTTAAATATTTATAACTACAATCAGTTATGTTTTACAATTGCAATCATTTATAATCCGTTACAACACTTGCATGAAAGACTCTGTGTATATTTAATACATTTCAATAATTTAAAAAAAAAAAATTATTTTACTAGAATTACAAAGAAAATAATGGTTTTTAGTTAGAAAATATTTTGAATTTAATTTTGTATTAACAAGTGGAGTTTAAAAATATTTTAGCCTATAATTAGGGAATTTATTTTCCAATCATGTGGAATCTTTCTATTTATAACACGAAGACTCATAATAAACAGGTTTTTCTTGTCTGATTTTTGACTAAATCATACCATGTTTATCTTAACCGAGAATTTTTTTTTAGAAAAAACGAGAAAAATTTTTAAAGATCGATCACTTAAAACCAGATACATTACGAAGAATATCTGATCATTTAATTCTTCATTTTGATACGCAGATTTAAACTGGGAATTTATATAAAATGATCTTTATCATACCGGCTTGTACCGAATATATTTTATAAAAATTTAAAAAATAAATAAATAAAACTATTTTAAAATTTATTTCATTAACTAGATTTCGATGTAAAATGATTTTTAATCCACGTCTTCATCTGTTGATCCGAGGCTCTATTTTGTTTATTTTACTCGAGTTTCAGTTGATTTTTGAGAAATAAAATATTTTTAATTTTCTCGAAATATAGAAAAGTAAAATCGAATATATTATTATTTTAAATTTGAAAATTCCTATCTGCAAAGGAAAGTTGAATCACTGAAAAGTGAATATCAATCATTTACAATAGTTAATTTTATTGTTTTTAAGACTACTTCCTGATTTATAAAATTAATGATTTTACATATTTAACATGACTCTATTCCAAAAATTTCAATTTTCTGACTCACCGTGCAACCGGTTGGAATCGGTGAGTCAAACTCAAACTGAAATGATGGTTGACAAGTCTGGGAGTCTGTTAAATAAAAGCTATTGTCTTGAACATGTGGCATTAGTGGTTTCGATATTTTGCTAGATATTAAACTCTTTAGCTTTAGGTAAAATTCATTATGCCATGTTAGCGCATAATTTACTGGACATAACGTTCACGTGTGGCATTTTAGAGAATGTCAACGGGCGAGATTCCACCAATCCGATTAACATAATGCAAGATTGCCTATATCGAGCGACCTAATATTTATGAGGCTATTTTTCCTCATGGGATAATTTAAGAAGTATTTTAATTAATCTAAATGAATTAAATCTTGTTATAAAAATTCTCTCTCTTTTTTCTTCTTTCTTACGAAGGTAGTAATTAAGGTAAGACAATAGGATGAGATGGTAGCTGAGACTTTCCATTGTTCTTTTAAAGGAATATTTAGTGATGAGAATAAAAGTTTGTTGTTCAGCGGGAGAAGTATCGTTCAGGAGAACCCTCTTCAGATTTAGCCACATGTGAAATATAAATTAAGGAGCAGCAATTAAATTACAAGCCTCTTCAATTTCATCAATTCAAAAATTTTTGTCATCATTTGTTCTGATCTTTATAACATATTTTTTTTTCTAATTTTAGTAATACGATATTTATATGATCAGCCTAAGTAACGTTGAGGAAGGAGTTTATCTCCTGTATAATATTTAAATATTTCTTTTAAATATTCCTTATCCTTAATTACTGGTAGTCGTAGCTTGACAAAACAACAAGTACTTATCTTACAAAAAACAAATTAGAGGTAAAAAAACATTTAAATGCGCGGGAAAGAAGAGACATGAGGTGAATGCACGGTTGGGACTGTCGCATAAATAGTACCCCTATATTCCCCCTCCGAGACCAATTATATTTGATAACATTCGATCTCAACATAGAAAAAAAAACTATTGTATGCAGCTGCAGTTAATTGCAATTATTAATGGTAGTATACTCACACGTTTGCTACCTCTCCTCTTGCATAACTAACTCTGTAAGTTCTTATAACCTGTGCTTCACAAAATCTCAAAACTGCGTTATATCTCAAAACTGTATATATATATATATATATTATACTTTTGTACAATAATAAATATATTAGAAAAATAGACTAAAATAAGTATAGACAGCAACAGGACACTGAGAACCTTGAAGCATTCTTATCCACGTTTCGTCTTGAAAGTGATCCATCATTCTCCACCCCTCTCTACCACATAGTACCTCGCACAGACAAAAACCAGCATTTGATGCAATGATATCACACTCAAATGCACCATCTAGATTTGGAAACATTGCAATGTAATTCACTTTACTAATATCTAAACTTTCTTAAATACTTAAAAATTATTTTTAAAAACAATAAAAAATTTAATACAATCCGATAGATAAATTTATCTTCTAGAATATTTCTGATTATAGAAGTAAAAAATGTAATCAATTTAAGAAGAGAAGTAATTAAATTCGATAATTTCTCAAAAATTATCTCAATTCTCAACATTTACAAAGCGTACTTTTTGGCCTATATCTAAAGATAATAAAACTCTAATAGAAGATTTAAGTAAAAATCTTCCGAGTTTACTTCTAAACACAATCTTTCTGAGCTCATTTTTAAATACATTAAAATCTTTCTGATATCAATTTAAAAAATCTAAATCCTTCTATTACCATTTTAAAAAATGCCCAAGTCTTTCTCATCTAATATTTCTTTGCCCATTTATAAAGCATTAAAATATTTCTGGTACCATTTAAAAACAAATCAAAATGTTTCTATTACTATTTAAAACCTGGCAAAATCTTTATAATTTTTTCCATTTCTAAAGCATTAAAATCCTTTCCGTTACATTATTCTAAAAGTATCAAAATCTAAGCCCATTCTAAGAAAACCAATTGTTTAAAATGTATAACAACATTTTCATAACAAGAAGTAAATTCATTTTTTTGAAATTGTAAAAAAAAGACTGAATTGTTTAAAATTTCACAATACTCATTCATGTTTTCATCATAACAAAAACTGTCAACCACCAAACAATGCGAGCAAACTTTTGCACGAGTTCGTTGTCCCAATTGTGACGAACGATTCCTTTTCTTTTCCCCCATTTACAAACTTTCAAATAAGTATTATATTTCAAATATTGGAAAACGAGAAAATAGCAACTGGATGAAAGAAAAATGTCCAGACATGTTCGAGGAGGAACTGTAACGCGATACTCTTTTATTTGCCGAAGAATTCCCTTACTTAGAATACTCTCTGGATTGTGTTTGTGTATTGAAAGAGAAATAGTTTTGACAGAATTATAGCTCTAAATTTTATAAATTTTGACAGAATAATAGTTTATTTTATAGGCTTAAAAATTCTATCTATGTATATCTTAACACAATATGATTTGTTCAATTGTAACACTTCGATGAAGACATAAAACAGCGAGTAACAGCCATATATACATGACATTTTAAGAAACATGACTGGTAATTGATAATAAGTAAGTAAGCGCTTCTATCTGCATAATTCTTAAAATTCTGTTTAAAATTTGGACGATATCAGCTTAACATTTACTATCATCTTATGTCTGACCGCTTTTTAATTCAAATATGAACCTTCTACGGCCCTCTGTTTTAGTGCTGTCGTATCCCTTACTTATATAGGAACAAGGCCAGATCTAGGAATCTGAGGGGGCCAGCTAATGATAAGGGTGGGGCCAAGTAATGACGAAACTTGTAAGAAATACAATTTTTTAATGTTTTTTTACAGGACTTGCTACTTTCTGCGATTTGTCCTTGTATGTGACAATTCTTGCCTACAACGTAAACTTTTATAATTAATTGCTAAAATCTAGGTAACATGCTAATTTTTATAAATTTCCTTGACAATGTAACGCGAAAGTAATGTTTCGAACAATGTTAAGATATAGAATTAATGCAGTTCTTTCATAGAAAGTTATTGATAATTACTTGCTACGAAAGAACTGCATTATCAATTGACTTGTGTGTATCTTTATTCGATCGACAGCGTGTTTAAAAACTTTTAAATTATTCTAAAATTAATATTTTAAAATTCTAATCTGATTAAATATAATAACGAACGTTAATATTCGAGAAATTAGTAAAGGTTTCGTGCCGCTTCTAGATCGTAAATGGCAGAAAATCTTTGGCATTCATTCACGTGCTAGGCCTTATAAACAGTTGATCAAGGGATATTTTTCGATCGAGCAGGCAAACACAGACTAAATTTGGAAACGTGGGTCCAAATAAAAGTGTGTGTGGGTTCTTCTATCCTCATTCTGGCTCAAAAACGATACCCCATCGGCGCCCCCGTTAATAAATGAAGTCTAGTCTCCATAAACGGAATAAGACCTGGTAAACTAATAAATAGCTCAACCATAATTTGGATATGTCACATTTATTAAAGGGTAAGTAAAATGCTTAAGTAAGAGTAAATAACATACCTCGACCGTATCCGTGCGTATGCTTGGCAAAACTGTTGACGACAGCATCGACAGCTTCTTTCAAAATAGTCTTTGCTCGGGCATCGGATGCAGAATCAGACATGGTAATGCGTCTAGCCGGTGGTGCAGGCAATGCCTTAGGCTTGGTACGCATATGTGTACGTTCCATGACGAACATGTATGAAACAACGACTTGTACCCCGAGAAGGGTTGGACGATTCTCTACTTGTCACTGTCACACACACAAACACCAATTTTGGGGTTGTAAATCCGACGCGGAGTGGAGAGGTGGTAGTGGCTTTCTGCTTAATNATAATCCAAAATATTTTGGATTATGTTGTTATAGGTGTTAATCTTTGAAAAAGGATATCATTTCATAAGGATTTTTATAACATTGTGAGAGCAGTTTTTGATTAAATCATGTTAAATGATAGAACACTTTGAAGGATAGCCATTTCTCTACACATTTGCAATCAAACCTATAATCATCAGCTAATAATAGTTTCAAGTACTCCTTAGTGAGTAAATTCTACATATTTTAATAATAATAATAATTTGTAAAAGGCTGCTTAGAAACAATGTTCATATTGAAAATTTTGATAAATAATAATAATCAGTTTTGTATTAATAAAGAGTAATTATAATGTATTTGAATTTCTGTATTTATAGGTAAAACTTTGGTATGACATTCAAGCTTTACAATTAGTTGTAACAATTGTATGTGCCACCGAATTGCCATTTGATAGAAATCGACCGCAACGTAATCCATATGTTAAAATGTTTTTATTGCCAGACAGGAGGTAGGAATATTATTTTTAATAATTGACTTTAGATTGATTTTGAATCTCATCAAATAAAACCATCTTAATTTAAATTTTAAATATTTGAACTTTTTTATAAGGCTTAAAGAATTTCAATATTATTACAGTCAAACCTCAGTAGAACATATTAATTAATTAAGCAGATTGACTTCTTAACAGGAATCAAAACATACCAAGTAACTGGTGTTACTATAAATAAATGTTTAAATTAATTAATTAATTAATTATATATTTTAATTCTAATAAACACATATCTAAAATTTAACTAACTGCATAGCTTAATTTGTTGTTTAACACAATCATCTATGTAGTTAGTAAATTTTTTATGACAAACTGAAGTTGCTTTATAGACTACTTTAATAATGATATTTGATTAGGTTTTTAAGAAAGCCATGCTATTGAGCTATTTTTATGATTTTTATGAATTCACTGTTTCTGTCAGCAATGCTCAAAGAATGTGAAATTACTGTATTTACTGGCATATTGATGGAAGCATTCACATTCTTTGTGCACATTTATATCATTGGATTTCCAATGAATGAAGGAATCAATCATTGTAGATTTTCTAAAAACTTTAGTGTGTTTAGACCAGGGGTCCCCAAACTTTTCAAGAGGAGGGTCACATTACTAATTCTGACAACAGTAGCAGACCAGAGCAAGTTAATATTACACAAAGTTTTCTTTAATAATACTGTAATAAGAAAATAATAAGAAAACTTTATTATAAATAATAAAGTTTTGTTATCTTTACTTCCCAAAATAAATGATATTTGTAATGTACAGTAGAGCATTGATTATCCGACTCAATTGGGGACTCAGGTTGGTCGGATAACTGAAAAGAAGGAAAAAAATACATTATTAGTATAGTACAGGGCTTCTTAAACTTTTTTTATTTACGACCCCATTTATGATTGTGATTTTTGTCGCGACCCAAAAAATATAAAATAAAGATATATACAAATTTGCAAAAACANAGAAGCCAGTATTTAAACGAGACTTAATTTTCTAATTATGAGTGGTTGTTTGTTTTGTGAGCAATAAAATAATTAAAAAATATTTTTTAACGATACAATAGCTATGATTATTATTTAAAGAAAAAATTTGTTAGGCTAAACATCAATGAAAATTCAACATGAAGTATGTTAATAGCGATATACTAATATACTAATTACATGGGATATACTAATATGCTAATATACTATACTTATAATGTATTTTTTCATTCTTTTTGATTATCTAATTTTTTCAGTTATCCGACCAACCTGAGTCTCCAATTGAGTTGGATAATCGATGCTCTACTGTATAATGTTTGGACGTTTCATTGTTACAATTTTAAAATTCGTTCAAATTCAATTACACCTGAAGATGATATATTCCATGAGGCTGAAAAAGTTAATGTTTCATTAAATAAACATTTCTCAGCAAAAGAAGGTGTTTGATGTTTCATTAAGTACACACAATGTTTCAAAATCAAGTCATAGACCAAACAGCAATGTTCAGCAAGATTTCCAGTTTTATACTGATACCATCTTATCAATACTTTAGGATTGATACAAAACCAGTATCAATACTTTAAAACTACTCATGATAGTAGCCGGCATAAATACTTTTGTGGTATTGGGACATTCCTATTTACTATAAATAGAGAAATAATTTTAATAATTAAAATTAATAAGTTAGTAAGTTCAATTACAAAAATTGTTAAAGTAAAAATATTTCTGAATTTTATTATAATAAAATATTTTAAAATTATGATAGTTTCAACAAATTTTTTTTTTTGAGATTTATTTACTATATGTAGAATATTTTATTAAAACACTGCTGCTTATTGATTTATTTTAAATTTAAGTTTTTATAATATTTATTAAGTTTAAAAGATAACTTTAAAATTTCCATTTGAAGAATAATCTACATTTCAATTTCTAGCTGGGCTGCAATTTGAAAAAATTGTAGATTTATAAATCCATACTGTCATCCATCCATCTATCTATCTGTTTGTCTTTTCTTAATCTCAAGAATGGAAGTAGACAGATGATTGAGAGCAGATGTGGAAAGTTTAGAGGCAGGAGGCTCAGATTAACTATATACAAACTTTCAGTTTGCACTGGAATTTAGGTTATTTCAATTCAAAAATTTATCCCTGAACTGGCATGACTCTGTTGCTAACAGGGAAAGTATGATGTACAGGTGCAAGACACTACTAAAAATTGAGAGCATTGTGACAAAAAATTGCAGCCCAGCATTGTGATGATGTCAGAATAAATAATTACTTGTTTAAATTTTACATAATCAAATCAATTTTCTAAACATGATATACATAACTTTACTAATGAGACAAATAAACTTATTGATGGTTTCATTATTTAGATCTGATTCATCTGATCATGTACTTCACCATGCTCATCCTGCAACACATCATATAACATCAGGTAATTTTTCTTTACTTAGTTACTGGTATTAAATATTAAATATAATTAAAGATCTTTCTAATACATAACCATTTAATTTTTATAGAATATGTTTGAATATTGATATAAGTAAACATTTAGCTTAAGCATGGAATATGCAATTGATTTGATATTGATATATTATGTATAAAATTATAATAAAAAATAGTAATAAATAAAATTTATTTAATTTTTACTTTTTTGATTAAAGAATTGTTTTGATAGATATTACAGATCTTTATCAGTTGTGAAAAAATTATCAAATTTTACTAAGTTGTAATTGGACTAATTAAGTGATTTAATGGCTATAGAATTTCAACAAATAGATATATTCTCCTCTGTTAGAAATTTAATAGTCATTAACCTTAATTTTAACAAAATTTTTATGCATTTAAAAAATTGCCCAGAGAAGAATTTGAACCCACTTCTATTGTCTGATATGCAAGTATTTATCACTTACTCTATCTGAGCATTAAACAGAGGAAGATTAGACACAGTGGCAAGTTACTTTTAAGGATTAACTGCACAAGTTACTATTTAAACCAATGGTTCTTAACCTTTTTTTAGTGGTCAGCACCCCCTTGAATCTGAAAATAAGCTCTTGCACCCCCTTAAAAATGTGTGTATATTTTTTATTTAAGAAAAAACATTTATTGCATAAACAAATGCCATGTTTATTTACAATATATATTACTATATAACATAAAATGCAATATTTAAATTTTAATGGCTAAGTGGTTGTTGTTTATTCATAATAATTCTATTATAACGAGGCTTTTTTTTTTAAATTGCCACGTGTAAGTCATCAGATGCATTTAAGCGATTTTTGGCTTTTGTTTTGATGTGAAAAATGTTGTATTTAAGGTATGCAAAGACATCGCAACTAGTTTTTGTACTGCATGTGACAATGTTACTACATTAACTGCATGTATTGACAACTGATGACAAGTGCTATGTGCTGAGAGACGGTAGAGTAGAGAGTGTAGAAGTGAGATGGTAGAGAGTGAAGAAGTCGGGGTGCCGTGTTGCTGGGTACCATGGTTTGTAGAGAACACAGACACCTCGTTCTTATTTTATTTTGAATTTTTGAAATTTCTCTCGCACCCCTGGAAATGCTCTCTCGTACCCCCAGGAGTGCATGCACCCCAGGTTAAGAACCACTGATTTAAACTATAGGATAACTGTGGAATAAATTTAACCTAGTCACTAATCTAAAAAGTTACTCTGATTTGGAAGATAGTTATTAACTAGTAAGTTGAAAAATTACTGTACAATCATGTTATCAATGGGAAGGCAAACAAGATGGAAAAGCAAAAAAGTGAATAAGCAAATGGATTGTAGTGTAGACAAAAATATATATTATCAGTTATGGGTCTGGTAGATACTATTTACAATATTTTAATATAGATACTTTAAGTAATGATAAATTATTATGTTAAACTGTGTAAATTAAGATTCACTTAACTCTGAAAATTAACATAAAACTGGAGTTTTTAAATTGAAATCAATTCTTGAAACTTAAAATTATTATACAGCATTATAAGATCTGATTTTTTAAAAAATATTCTGTCAATATTAAGATAAATTTGATTTAAATAGTCTAAATAAAGATTATCTTATCAGAGTCAGAGCTGACTAACCATCTTCTTTTTTCACTAATCTACAGAATAAATTTTAACCATCCAAAATTGTCAATATAATTTAGTTGGCAGTTTATCCCAAAAGATTTACATTGATGAAATGCATTAAAGGTAATTCTGTAGATAAATCTTGAGATTAAAACTTGGGTAAATTGACCCTAAGTAAAATAAATATTAGTTTGGTTTTCCAAAGTTAACAACTTTGAAGTAAAAATAATATACAAATGAAGAATTTAAAGATCACATAATTAGTTTGTGTTTTAGATCTTTAGACATGTTAATTTATTATTGTGTGTCCAGTGGTACCCAAATAGCTCCTGGACAAAATTCACCTTGTAGCACAAACTGTTCATGAGTCAGATGTTAATTCAACACATGAACATATTTGGCACATCACTTATAAATAATAGAAATAGATCTATTTTATAAAGAGAACTTTACAAAATATCTGCCTAACTACCACTTATGTGTATTTTGCTTGCCAGTCAGAAAGTTTGGACAACACTGATCTAGATGTTATATATAAATTTAAAACATGGCAATATTAATTATTAATGACTAAACAAATTACAGATACAGTGGAACCCCGGTTAACAAACGTCTTGGTTAATTAATGACCAAATCGGTTAATGAACTTTTATTTTGCAAAAATTTTGTCTTGGATAACGAACATAACGGTATTTTGTGTCAAATTTTAGTTGATGTTAGGCATGCGCGAGTTAAGCATTGATTTTCGTTGTGTTTGTGCTATAGTTCTTTTTTCAGTTTTGTGATTTATATATTTAATCAATATGGCATCCAAGGAAAAAAAAAGTCATAGTGGCAATAGAAAATGACAACGCAATATAAATGACAATGCGCTGTCGCATTTGAGAAAAATTTTGATTAAAAG